CTGTTCATTCCACTTTTGGGAAATAAATTACAAGTGATTCATTGCCCAAATTTGTCACTCTTTGGAAACTCAGTCTTACTAACTTACTAACTCCAATAATAGACCATGATAAGTTATACTGTATATTCCTTGCAGTAAATGCTTTTACTACACCCAATGTCACTGTTATTCGGACATTGCATATTTAATTCACTATTGAAACACTCCTGACATTGTATTCATTAATAACTAATATAAAAAGCAGTTTTCCTGCATGTGGAGAAGATACATTTGATGCGTTAGTCCCACATGCCATAAAACCAGCACCTCAACAAAGCAACACTGATATGATTTAACAATTGCCTCTTAAATGCCATTATTGTCATACAGCATGAAACAGTGTCCAGCTTTGTATCGTTTTAAGGGGCAATACTCCGGAACACAAGGATTTCATTGTTCAGTGAGCACATGGGGAAAATAACTGAAAGCTTCTGTTTCATATGTCGCTCTGCAATAATTGAAGAAATGTGTTTCTCCCTTCATTTGAGGAAAAAAAACCACTTCAAAGACTTGTTTTTTTAATTTTGAAAAAAATACATTTGTGGTCAAATCTGGAGTGAGAGATATTTCTGTCAGGGCTTGTCAGAGGGGAACTACCTAAACAGTGGATGTTGTGCGGAGGTTTGTGATAGACTCGGGCAGTACCATGGACTTTGATGTAGCTGACATATAGCTCCAGGTCTTTCAACAGTTAAAATGACTAATGGATGAACATTTCTCTGGGTAATATTAAACTGACTGTGAAAGTATATCAGGCTGGATGTTTGTCCAAGTGGATAAAAAGTTTGAACTGGGTGCTGCTCTCTGTTTCTGCAGTAAAACCATGTATATATAGAAATCACAAAATTTCCACACAGAATATCAGATTCAAGAGGATTGTAACAATACCACACCGTTGTCCACACTAAACGATCTCATACCAGACATTCTCTATAAATTTAGATCAGAAAGTAATGGTATATGGAGAGCTGTGTGTGTGTGTGTGTGTGTGTGTGTGTGTGTGTGTGTGTGTGTGTGTGTGTGTGTGTTCATATAGAAGGTATTACACATGAAAAACTAAAAAACATGTGAATTTGAATTTTAAAACTTCTTCAAGAGCCATGATTTTATGGCTGTATGAATAGTAATGTTAGCTGGTGGGTCAGTCCACCACTTAGGTACTAATTATCGATACATTTACAATGGACATAGCATCACCACTTCCCTCCACCATGCTAAAGTGAAGCCAAAATATTGTGAATACAGAGTAGCAACCAGAAGTTGAATGACAGCATCGAACTGCCAGTTAAAGCTGTCAGCCTGTCCATCATTTTTATAGTTGATGGCAGAGATTAGTGCCATCATCATGTTAAAATTTCTGTTTGTTGAATACTTACGTTTTATGGCCACATAGCTCCAAAACTAATGTCATTCACAGCAGCCTGAGCTGTACATGGTTAATTATCTATGAATGTAATTATGTAGAATGTTAACACTCTGTAATAATTCTGTAGTATATTACTTGTGTGGTGTAGAGGATAATTATTTATGTAGAGATATTGCTTAGGACTTAAAAGTTGTAAGATGATGTCATGGGGTAGGACTAGATAAGTCTAACTTCTTCCTACTTCGTTCAAGCATGTACTAGGTATAAGCAAATTGATATTGGGTTATTATTGTTGGATATGTGTGAAATTACATGTGTTGACATATCAACTGTCTTTACATGCTTGAAAGAATAAATCAAATCAAATCAATATGGTAAATGTTTCCAGAACCCTGAACAACCTCGCTGTGAGGCAACAGTGCCTCCCCCCATCCCAACATACAGCCTCATGAGTCTCTAGCTTGGCTGTAGACTTAGCTGTGTTAAATATATACACTTAGATGTAAACAAAATTCAATATTTAAATTTACATTTAGATTTTCTTGCCATTACAATGCATAGCCTATACTCAACGTGACCTTCATGATGGCACCAGTAGCCATGTTTGCTGAGAATTTTTTTCACATAGTGATTTTCTCTGTTTATCCACCACTCATTCTTCTTGTGTATCAGTGCTCTACATATTCGGATTTAGGCCATAAACATGCAAGCCAGACAGATGGAAAATAGAAAATATGCCTGAAATAGGTGTGTAGGAGGTGATACCTGTTTTGTGTAGCTGAATCAAAACTACACTCACTTTAACATTGAGTAACTACATGTAAAATATCAATGGAAAATGTGCATTGCAAGTAAAAAGAGTTTTTAATTTCAGTTATGTTTTTAAACTGAAACATTTACAATTTTCTGTTTATTTCATGCTGATGTTATGCCATGCCCTGTAATGGTTCCCATCTAACTTATGTCTCACTGGTCTGACCTGCAAAACAAGAAGACGTTCAGTCATCAAGCAGACAATTATTGCAATAACACAACCAATGCCAAGGGGATCCTCCCATTACCTCTGTATGATAGCACAATAATGGGAGCTGACATGATATGTGCCACAGATTTCTCTCTTTGTGCTGCTTTTCAGCATCACATTATTAACATCATTTAAGGTTTCTTCCACAGTCATATATGTCACTGGACGTGACAGGATGAAGAGAGAGTGCATTGTTCTGCCAGAGCCTTGCTGGATTTAATGGCTGACCTAGTGGTGCACAGGTGGCAGAGAAATTACAGTGTACACATACTTCAAATTTGGATGTCTTCCACTTCTGGAAAGACTGCACAGGCTCCTCCCAATGAATGAAAAAGCTATACTTGGATACAGAGGTTTAGTCAATGCCAAGATATTTCTCATCAATCAACCCTTATACAGAACAAAATGTTTCAACAATTGGAATCAATAAAATAATGAATACTGGCTCTATTTGATCCATACAAAACATCTCTTTCAGGAGCTGGTGCACTGAAACAACTTTTTCCATTTTTAACAGCAGCCCTTTTATCTCTGCATGTGTACGCTCAAACATGTGCATGCTTGCATGGGAACTTTCAACCCTTTAGTTCAACAAATTAAATGCTACAGCTTGTCTACCCAGTTCCTGGGCAGCAAATTATAACACTGTACAACCTCGATGTTTTGGTACGTCACATATGGCTATTGAGTAAGTGCCAGTTCTTAGACTTCCTGACTACAAATAGTCGTTTAGATCAAACAATACATCTGTTGCAGCTCTATTGTTAGACAAAGAAGGAACAAAATGAGAAAACTATGTAGGAAATAGATGCCAGATAATTTTCAGTCCCTGTGGCTCTAAAAGGACATGAGCTTGGTCTTTTACATCAGAGGTCTGGAAACAGTCACAGCTAAGGGAATTAACAAAAAAAAAATAATACAGTTACAATATTCACCTAGCTCATAACAGTAACATAATAAAATATTGAATTCCTACTGAGGAGTAGCATAAAAAATCTACTGTTTGCTTAGTTTAGATGAGACTGACAAGTAGCACATTTCTTATCCAAGTGTTGGGGTCCTCCAGTTGCTGTACAGTATACCTGAAGGCCTAATATCATATTGTTACAACTCCACAAAGTATCACTATTGCAAATATTTTCCTCTACAGAAAAGACACATGGGCATACTCGATCACACACATGCATGCAGACAAGCACACACAGTGAGATGATAAATTAATAGTG